CAATCATCGCGTTCACAATCTCACTTTATCTTCTCTCTGTTTCCTTCTCCAATCCAACCAGATAGACAAACAACCATCAGCGACTAGCGTTCATAATCCTCTCCCCTCTTCTTCTTCTTCTTTTTTTTTTTTCTCCTCTAGTTCTACGAGAGTGCGAGACACAGACCAGCGACAGCCACCAGCCGCACCGCCTTGGCGCTTTCCATTTTCTTTTTTCCAGTATTGATTAATGTTAATTCTCTAATCTATTAATTCTATTCTTTCAATTCAATTTTTGGGATAAATTGTTGGTATATAGATTGCAGGTTTGCACTTTGCATGCCACATTTGTGCTACTTGTGCCCAGCAGCGCACTATCCAACGCAACGCTTTGTTGTTTCTCCGGTGCAGAGGATTTCAATCCAGGTTTTATTGTTTCTTATTTGTTACAATTTACAAATAACAAAATAAATTATGCCTCCTAAAAACAAATATGAGTCGAGATATGAAAAACACAAAAAAAAAAAAAAGAATTGATGAGCTTATTCAAACTCAAAGTGGAGCAACTAATAGATTTGTTATAAGAGAACGACAATTAAATGCCGAAAATAATTTGAATGTTGAAAATAATTTGAATGCTGAAAATAATGAAAATTTTATTGATGATCATATTGATGATGATGTTGAGGTTGAAAATGTTGATATTGATGATAATGCTAACAATAATAAAACTGAAAATACTAACATTGGTGATTGTATTGCTGATTTGGATAATGACTCTGATGTTAGAAATTGGGATTGTTTAAATTCTAAAATGATTAATATGTTAGCAATAAGGGTCCTAAAAGAGATTTGTCTATTGTAAAAGGCACTAAAAATAAATTTGTCTCTTTTAGGACCCTTCAAATTTCCGCTATATTCTACACTAGAGTATTGCCAAATAAGGAAAAATGCGATAGAGATTGACTTGCAAACAAAAGAACTTGATAAAGTTTTTGTTTTTGTTGTAAGTTGTTTAAGAAAGGTTGTGGTAGATGCTTATTTCCAAATGAGGATTTTAGTGATTGGGCTCAAGTTTGTGTTAGAATTGAAGAACATAAAACTAGTATTGAACAGTTTCAAAATATGGTCACTTAGTATGAATTGCGTTTAGGACTTCAAAAGAACAAAATCATTGATAAAAAATATCTAAAAGAACTTGAAAAAGAGAAAGATCATTGAAAAAATATTTTTTTAAGAATTATTTTAATTGTGAAGTTTCTTGCAAAACATAACATTGCATTATGTGGTTCTAATGAGAAATTGCATGAAAATACCAATGGAAATTTCTTAGGATTAATTAAAATGGTAGCTGAATTTGATTATATTAAGCAAGAGCATGTTTTTCATATATTAAGGTGTGTTCTTTTGGAGGTTTCACCAAGATTTCCACTATTCATTCAATTTTTTATTTCAAAAAATATCAAACCAAACACTTATTTTTTATTTTTTATATTATATTAAAAATTAATTTTACATTCAAAATATCACATCAATACCTATTTATATCACATCATACAACTATTACAATTCAAAATTTTGACTATTCAAATCCTAACTTAAAATTCAAACTCCCAAACAAACACACGGATGAGATTCATGTTCATTATTTTGGTCACAACATTCAAAGTAAGCTGATTCCTTTGCTTGCTTATGCAATTAAAGCTGAAGTTTTTAAAGAATTATAAGTGGTTAAGTATTTTTCTGTAATACTTGATTGTACACTTGATGTTAGCCATTAAGAACAAATATCTTCGATTTTACGAAATGTAAATATTTTTTCTAATTGTGTTTGCATAAAAGAATTGTTTTTAGGATTTTTAAATGAATGATACAATTGGACAAGGACTTGTTATGTTTGTTACATGAATTAAGTATTTTTGAACTTGACGTAGATAATATGTATAGACAAAGTTATGATAATAGATCAAATACGAAAGAAAAAAATCAAGGAGTGCAAAAAAAAGCTTTTGTATTTGAATTTAGAGTTTTATATACTCTGTGTGGTGCCTATACTATTAATTTAATGTTGTGTGAAATGGTCAATAATTTTGGGAAAGCTAGGTGTTTTTTTTTTTTTTTTTTTTTTTTTTGTAATAAAACACATCTATACTATATTTGGAAATTCTACAAAAAGATAGCAAATTTTGAAAAATAATGTAAAATATTTAACTCCTAAATTATTGTCTTCTACTCGTTGGGAAAATTGTGTTGATAGTGTAAAAGCAATTCAATTTCAAATTTCAAATTTTAGAGAAATTTTGCTTGAAGTTGCTGAAAGTGATAATGATTCTAAAATAACAAGTGAGGCTAAATCCTTAGCTAATAACGAGTTAGGAGATTTTGAATTTATTTTTTCAATTGTAATTTGGTATTATTTGTTATATGTTGTTAATTTAGTTAGCAAAAAATTACAATCAAAAGACTTGCTTGTAGGAGTATAGAAATAATGGTTTTACAAATATTGTTGATGTTGCCAAAGAAATTACAATTGAAATGGATATTGATTCAATTTTTTCTCAAAAGCGTCAAATTAACCAAAAAAAGTTTGATGAAAGTCTAGATGATTGAAAGTTCACTAAGTGCAGAACAAATCTTTCAAAATTATTCTCTTTAATTGCATTATTGATCAAGCAATTATTTCACTTGATAGAAGGTTTGAACAATAAAAATATAAAAATGTGTTTGGTTTTTTATTTTCTTCTAAAAAATTGTGTTTATTAGATGATATTAACTCAGGGTGTGTTTGTTTGGGTGTTTGGATTTTGAGTTGAGATTTGAATAGTAAAAAAATTGAATTTGAATAGTTGTATGATGTGATATAAATAGGTGTTGATGTGATATTTTGAATGTAAAATTGATTTTTAGTATAATATAAAAAAGAAAAATGAGTGTTTGATTTGATGTGGGGGGGGGGGGGGGGGGGGGAGAATGGAATGAATAATGTATTTAAAATTCAATCCCCCAAACAAACACACCCTTAAAGTCTTATTGTACGAATTTGGAGAATGCAATTAAAAATTGTGATATTTGTGATATTCACGGATATGATTTATATGTGGAGTTGAAATTGCTACAAGAGTGGTCATCTAAGAAAAAATTTAATGCTCTGGATATTACTTCCTTTATCCGATATATGGTGTCTCATTTACCGTAGACACGAAAATTTAGGAATTGTATAATTAGTAAATAATTAAGAATGTTATCGTATAATAAAAATAATTTTAGATTAAGATTAAGATAACTAATTAGTCTAATTAAAATTTAAAAAATTATAAATTAAAATTTTTTAAATGAGATTAAAGTGTATAATTTTTTTCCATAAAAGAAAGTGGCAAGATAAATGGGACAGACGAAAATAAAAATGTGGACACGGTAAGTTTAAAATGTGTTGATTGTTTTCTAATGCAATTGTTGCATATATATATATAGGATATTCTTAACAATCCCAGTGATTGTTGCAACAGCTAAAAGAAATTTTTAAAATTAAAGTTGCTCAAAACTTACTTGCGTAGTTCGATATCCCAAGAAAAGCTAAACGGTCTAGCTATAGTAGCAATTGAAAATAAAATTATGGATAAAGTAAGATATGAAAATTTGACTGACGAATTTGCTTTAAAAAAATGCACGAAAGACAAGACTTTTCAAATGACAATCTTGTAAGTACTTTAAATTTTATATTTTTTGTTTTAATTATGTTATTTATTAAATTCATTGATTTTTTATTTTTTTTATTTTTTTTTCATTCGAATCCTCTTTTGATGAGCATGTCAAGTTTGCTATATAATTTTTGGAAAGCTTGTTTAAATATGGTTTGTTCTTGTTTCTTTTTAGCTTAGTTATTTTATATTATATAAATTTTTGTGTAGAGATTTTATAATAATTAAAATATTGTGTTTTTTTTTTGTTTGTATGAATGTTTATTGAATATATAATTAAAATAATTTTTACTTTTATGGAGTTTATTATTACGGTGGTTAGTGAAACTATTTTGAAAATACATTTGTTTATCGTTAAAATTCGTCGATGATGGCCCAATGGATTAGGCCAGTCGAAATCAATGATTATCGGATTCCCCGGCCTACTCAAGAAAGTATTCGGGCTTGGTCTCGCAACGAAAGTTAATGATTGTAATTATACGGAAAATTAAGCTACTAAATTGACACAATTGGAAGAAAGCAGTATAAACAAAAAGAAATGGAATCATGAAACGGATAATTGAAAAAATAACATGAATTTAGGAATAAAAATAAGAAAAAGAAAACAAGAAAGCAAAATAGATAAAAGTTGGATCGTGTGTATTATTTTATTTTTGGATGGATCTCCCATTCTCAATATTGGCTCCCTTTTAAATAAGCATTTGATGAGCCTTGTCCGTAATCTCTTCACTCTACCTATTTTTATTCCATCATTTTCTCCGATTTTCTATTTTTTGTTTTGAAAAGTTCTTTGAATTAGAGTTGGATTGGGGTTGTTTGGACCAGCTCATCTACTTCTTCGGGATGGGCTGACAATCACCTCCGAAAGCCCAAAATATGTAGGAGTAACAACATTTAATTTTATGTTTATAGGATCTATATTTTATTTTTGTTCAGAATTCTAATAAACAATGTGTATAACTATTGATTATATAGGTACGAGAATCTTCAAAATCTCTCTTTTCAAATCACCTTCTGAACTCCATAAATGCTCAAGAACATCTTCCTAACATAGAATACAAGGGAGACTTACTATTGCAGACAACAAAACATACCTTTCTCTAACTACAAATTAATTCAATCTTCCTGAGACAAACCCTTTGTTGCAGGTTGGTTTTCAACCACGTTTGGGGAGAAGAATCAAGACAATTAAATACAGCTGTTATAGCTCTGATTCTTTCCAATATCTTCACCAGAGCTTGTCAGTCCATCAAGGATGTGTTTTGTCACTAACATCTGCAAGTCCCACATCATAAATATATATACATATATTCATAGTAACCCCTCGAAGTAGCTAGGTTTGTCTTTTGTTTGGCCGATTTATATCCTACCAATGTCTTCTAAATTGAGTTTTCTAACTAGCATGGTTTACAAACTATTGCACTTGCCTTTAGGCTTACTGAGTACCAAAACTCGAAAAGTAGCAAACCACATTTGAAAATCTATATACATTCAAAGTAAATATGTTTTACACAAAGCACTGCAAAAGATTTATAACAATGGCTCTTATAAGCTCTTTCTTTCGCCATATGACCAATCTTTGAGTCTATTGAGATGAACATCGACAGTCAATCTTTTAGAGCACCAATTTTCGATATGGCTACAGATTAAGATGCCAAAAAGCTTCCAAATCTCAGTCATGTCAATAGAATCCACTGAGTGATCCATAAACTCGAGTCTAAAGCTCATCCATTTGTCTTCTTTGTTATGCTGTTCTTGGATCGATTGATATCTCTTTTATCTATTCCGAGGGCATTGGCAAATAGCCTCTTCGCAGCTCCCATTTGCTCATTCCTCGTCTGGCTTTCATGGTTGCTGCTGTCCTTTTGTTCTGACAAAGAGCCTTCCTTTTGTCGTTGGGCTAAGTTGATTTTCTGTTGCGCCAATTTACTTGTAGACGACTCGGCTCCATTGAAATTCTGCGCATCAGATGAGGCATTCGAAGAAGTGTGGCTGTTGCTTCGACAGGAGACATTCATTTGATCCATTCCACCGGAACTGTGCTCTTGAGACGGCTCCTTGTTGATTTTACCAAGCGCATGAGAGATCATACGACGAGCAACTACTGTGTCATTTCTTGGCCTCTGCTTGACCAGGTGAGTCTGTGTATCTGAAGAAAAAATAATGTCCCGGGCAGCTTTATAGTTTGCTTCTCTCTCCTTCAGCGAAGTTTCACCGGCTGTAACATCACTTTGGCCTATAAAAACAATAAGGAAATCATCAATCAAGCAATGTATGGAGAATAATCTTTTATCGCTGTTATGAACTTCACGCCCAGACTAATGCCGTAAGCGCTTTGGCACTGTACATATAAAATATATATATCTCCGTCCAAAGGGACCCCTATCAAGTCATGAATTACTCATATATATAAGCATTTTCAATGGTAATATATTTACTAATACATTTGGTATTTCATTCAGTCAAAAACAAATCAAACATAAGGCTACTGAAAGAAGCCAGCCTAAACCAGACTAAAATTAACCCCAAATAGATAGTGCCAACACCCTTAAGCCACCCGATAAAACATCAGAACAAGGGACACTGCTATGCGAAGCCGCATTGCCCTCACTATCCCTAAATGTCACTCTATCCATAGTATAGATAGAATCGATGAAGCTTCTGCCATAAGCCACACAGGCATCAGTTGGCACACTCCTATTCAAGGATGCCACTGCCAGGCGATGCCCCCATAAAGGAAATCGTTAACTATTAGTGAACCCAATTATGTCTCTAATTCAAGGCTTCATAGTAATATCCCGCGTATAGAAACTAGGCATAGCTAATAATTAGGCTTGGAAATTTTTGTAAATCTTGGCGATTAAAGATGAAGCTCTTCTCCAAAGTGAGATGCACAATATTGTGAAATCCCAAAGTTGGTAGTTTGTAGCTTCCAATCTCAAGGTCAGTAGCATTAAAGCCTCAGCTTCAAACAATCATTTGAAAATATTGATTAAACTAGCAACTCATTCCATGTATTCTTTTGGTTGTTTTGTTGGCTTCTGCATTGCAACCAATTGAGGAACTAACTTACTCTAAATCCAAAATCATATACACCCATACAGGGCTGCCATTATCGACTGTTCTAATTTTTGTAAAATTCACAATGGCACGAGTGACAGAAGCCTTTCTGCAGAATGAAAATCTATCATATCAATGAAGGATGCTAGGGAAACTTATTAACAGAATTTGTTAGCTTTGTTTTACCTGAATCTATAGCTCACCTGTCACAACATTTTTTTGTCTTGGTACATCATAAATCGTAGGAGATGGCACTTCACCAAACTGCCACAGTAAGTCAGTGACGAGGATGGGAGGTCTGCAGTTAAATTAAAAACAATGAGTATAAGAATACTAATGGATACCCAACAAATGCATACATTAAGAACTCAATTTAAAATTTTGTAGATAAATGACCATGAAATAGGGGACTTGGGCTTTCTCCAAGAATAATACAAGATATAAATAAGTATCACATAGTCATATTCAGAAGATTTGGGATGTCACTGGAAATTAGGCTAATATGTTTAGTATAAAAATTGAGCAATCATAGAGAACATGTAGATTTAGGCCTTTTTGTTCAACTTGATTCTTGAACCAAATGAACTAATGATGGAATTTAGTTCATATTACAACCCTAATATGGCTTGGCTCAAACAAAGTCCTTGACCCGGACATTGATGCATATGCCGGGCTCTTTGGTGTTTTGCCTTTCAACTAGGGTATATGCTAAAGTTAAAAAAGATGTTGAAAAGGCAATGTCATTTGATTCAAGAAAATCAATAGTCATTATATCACAGATATTTCAAGGAAATACCATTGTCGAAAGCCCAATCAAATGTTTATGTGTTTCTTTTGGCAACTCAATTGCTGTTAGGCAAAACATATGCATAAAAATTTAATTAGGTGATAGTAAACAATTCCGTGTATTAGTTGGATCTGGGCCTTATGTCATCAGCTTTGGTTGATTTCCAACGTATTTTCCTTATGTTTTGTGATGCCTTGAATCATTACATTTATAATATATCACTCAAAACCCGAAAAAGTATTAAAAGTAACTAATGAACTCAGAAAGCACTAATAACACAAAAAATTATCAGCTGTTAACGACAAATTACAGTGCATAAATTAGTTTTAAAATCTTATTCACCTACATTGATGTCTCTGGGCAGCGCTCCAACATTAGGTGTCTGGCTTCTCCTTCACCAACAGAATGATGAGAAAACCTACAGCGGTAATGTTTTTGTTTTATATTGAGTAGATAATGCTTAAGATATGAAGGTGGAGGTGAATGTGCCAATATATACATACTGTAAAAGAGAAATAAAAATACCCAAAGATCTCAGCAAGACGATGCACGAGCAAACGCTCATAAGGATTCATGGGCTCCAACTCAAGCACTTGACCTATACTGTATGAAGCATCTGTTCAGCTAAAATTATCTTAATGGTATGCAATGCCAGAAGGAAGACAGAAAGATTGAAATGTTTCATAAGTCGATGTTTTCAAAAGATAAGGTGCTAACATATTGCATTTGCCTAAAATAGCTCAGTTTGTAAGAGACTACAATTTATGAAACAAGAGAACTTCATTAGTGTGGATTCTCTTTTGCAGGAGAGAACAATCAAAAACGTAGATCACCACCGAATAAGAGAAACTAAGCAATAGAACTTCAATACTACACAGCATTTCCATTCAATTTAAAAGGAAAACATACGGTAGAAACTGTAAGATCTGTTTATTTTTGGGCTGTGTAAGAGATATTATGAGTGTTTTAGTAAGACGAATAGTGAAGCTTTAGGTCTATATATTTCACTATCTTTTTCTTTTTCTTCCTTATCTATAAATATTATATAATGATAAGAATAATAGTTTTCAAGTATATACACATACACATACATATAATTGAATCCCGTGTGATAATTTGAATTGAAATATTGGCTTTATTCACCCAAACAATATTTTTATTGACGCAATTTTCAATATAATATATATATAAATATATAACAAAAAGTCAACATTCAATACAAATGATTAGTTTTACTATTACTGACACAAGTCCACATTCATCGCATAAAAAATACTTCAATCTAAAACACTAAACAAACACACCCATTATACACTGGTTAGTTAGTGAATTTTTAATTATCAGTATATATGTATATCGTGTCACTTTTATGTTTAAGGAATGATGAATTGTTTCCTCATGAACTCTTTCCAAGATAAAAAAAAAAAAAAAAAAAAAAAAAAAAAAAAAACACTTAAGTTATAACTTTAGTTTACTACAATATGATTAAAATATTAACTAAATCATTCTATATGATAGCAGATTTGTATCCCTCTCACAAAGGGAACACGGCTGTAATGTAATACATTTTACAGAATTATTGTCTACTATAAAGTTTTGTAGAAGTGTCGAATAGATCAATTCTGACGAAAAAACCTAAGGCCCCATTTGGTTGGAGGATTTGGGTTGGAAGTATTTCAAATGACTTAGTTGTGGATTTCAAATCCATCGCCTTTAATATTTCAAATCATTATATTGTGTCATTTCAAATACTTCCTACAACCAAATTACGAATTTTAGTTATATATTATCTCAAATCCAAAGCAATTCAAATCCATTCATTTAAGATCCACCATCAAATCCGAATTAATCCAACCAAACAGGGCATAAAAATAGTTTCCAAGGATCAGTAATTACCTCCAAATTTGGATAGTTTCTACCATTCGAAAAATTTACCTTGTGTCATTCTGAAGAACATCAACTAACATCTCTTCTATCGACAAAATGAGATGCTTGCAAGGCAAGTTGTCTTTAACAAGACTAGCTAACTCTTCAACCTGCATAAGCATCATATACATGGTGAATCACAAAAGCCAGGGACAAGCGAAATATCCATCCAGTATGCAATTACGCAACACAAATACTGCAATGTTCATGCTTTCAAATATACATGTCCATGAATGTTTATGCATGCCTAAAAGGCAGTTGAAATCTTTCTACCAATTCCCCAAAAATATTCATCTTTCTATCTTCAAAACCCCATCAGACCACGACACCATAGTTCATACAAGCCTATAAAAGCTTCAACCCATCTAAATAGGCACAATGTTTGCGAAAAGAGCACTTGGGATTTAAAATTTTCTCTTTTGCTAGATTATGGATGCCTATTTTTGCTAGAGTTGAGGCCTAAACCCAGAACTGTAACATCAAGTGATCATGGATATACCATACAAGCTATAACAGATAAGACATATATGTATGTAAGGGAATCAACAGAAAGAAACGCAGGACTGACCATGGCAAATTGGGTGAGACTCATTGAATCGAACTTTCGAAGAATAGAAATGGTATATCAGTTGCGAAGAATTCTGCTGATGCTCTTGCGGTCTTCGTGAACGAAAGCACCCCCTCTACAATTTTGCCCTAATTTGACAGGTCTGTCTGGGCCCTAATTTTCAAAGATCGCCTGAAATTTCCAAAAGAAGTATATCAAATAAATAAATAGCCTTTGTAACTATTTATTTTTATTAACTTTTTCGAAATATATATATATATATTAAATATTTATTTTTTATTAAAAATTTTATCTTGTTTTCATAAAATATCAAAGTTTTGATTATAGAAAATTTTTGGAAAATTTGTATTTGTTAGGTATGATATTTCATTTCACTCAAACGAAACGGCCGAACCTAATACACTGCCAACTAGATCCGACTGGCAAGTCACCGAACCATGTGTGACAGCTGACCTGAAAATATTTTATTAATTATTGAAAGTCTGTAAGATGGTTTATATATTTTTATGGTAATTTTTATATATGGTAACGATATATTTAATGTACTATTATTTTTATTATAATAAAAATTGATATTTTTTAGTAATACGGACACAAATTGTGGAAAAATATTTTGAATTGAATAAAATTAAAGTATGTCTCTTCTTAACTAATACTCCCTCTGTCCCGAACACCGTGCAACATTTGTGTTTGGCACAAGAATTTAGGTGGGAAGTATTAAATATGGTAATTTGAAATAATTTGAATATTAAGTTATGTGATTTGACAGATAAATGATTATTTTTTTTTAATTATTTGAGTGATGTGATGAGATAAAGTGAAGTGTATATTAATATATGTATAAAAATATTATTAATTATTTCTAAATTTGGAAATATTGCAGGGTATTTTATATTTTTATTTGTTCCATACACACATTTTCTATTTTAAATAAAATTTATTAAATCAAAACATATTTAATAAATATTTTCTCTGAATTTAATTGACATATTTTTCATTTATATTTGTCACATAACAATTGACATTAAAAATTATTAAATCAATATATACTTAACAAATATAAATCAGCTTAATTAATTATCTAATATATAATATCATATATGCAGATTCACTCAAAATCCTTTTATTTCTATCTTTCTTCTAAAAACAATTTTTTATGTACCTTTAAAACTTCACTTCTTTTATAAAACTAGTTTATGTTAATTATAAATAAATATTATTTTATACATGATATCCATGTTTTATATATTTCTTATTGCGATATGATTTTTAAAATATTTAAATACATATTCTAATTCTTTTAATCATATATATATTAAATTTATTTGAAAACTACTAATATTATTAATTACATAAAAATAATAAAATAATACTTCCTTTGTCTAACTAGAAAGTATACATAATTGTATTTTGGGACGTCCAATTACAAAGTAATTATTTCATTAAATATCCCACTTTTTTCACAAATACTCTTACTTTACATCACATCATTACTTTTATACCAAAAAAGAATGGCAAAAATATCATTACACTATTTTTAACCACTCACTATAATTAAAATACAATTATTTCTTAAACTCCGCACAAAAAATAAACGTATACTTCTTAAATGAACGAAGGGAGTATCATAATTCACTATTATTAACTAATTAAACCTCATTGTCTTAAATATCGTATCACTAATAAAAGGTGTCAATTGACTTGAGACAGAGGGAGAGGGAGTATAAATCAATTGATTAACTATATAACATATAAGAATACCGCGAGTGGCTAATGTAAAAATCTCTCTCGAAAGCCCACGTGTCCAATAATATTTTATTTCTCGATGGATGGTTTGTCAATTTCAGTACAGTGCTCCATTTGTATTCTAGAGATAAAATATTTTATTACTAATTTTATTTATTTAAAGAGTATTTTTCTAGAGTTTTTTTCATAGATACGACCATTCTCCTCCAAATTGATATATCATCTCCTCGCCTCGCTGATTCTCTCTGCCGCAGGCATCCGCTACTGCCATCATCCAAGCAGCACACGTCCGGCGAGAGTTTCTTCGGTGAAAGTTCTCGAAATTTTTCAACTCAAACAACGTAAGAAACTCCTTATTCTCGCTTTCTCTCATTCTTTTACCCCCTCCCGACTCAATAACGCATGGGCTTTGCTGTCAGAGGGACGACATGAGAGAAATCGTTGTGGAAAAACTCAATGCCAGGGAGAAGAGAACGGTGGAGACGAATGAAACTTGTATGGCGTGCAAAGATAATTTAATCAAAGAGAAGAAACAAGATGAATTTTTCGCCACGGTTGTGTCTCACCTCCGCCAGGCACAAGTGATGTTGCGGCAATATATTCACCTCGAAGTTTATTATATTGTGCGACCTAATTCTCGATGGTCAGGAACGAAGCCTTCTAAATAGGATAAATGGGTCTTCAAATATGAGTCACTGACGATGTCTAATACCATACATATGTAGGACTCATTTAAATTCTTTTATTTTTATATTTCTTCAAAAGTCAATTTTAACTATATTTAAAACTTCACATCTCTTATAAAATTAGTTTAAATTAATTATAAATAAATAAACATATATTTTTATTTATTCTTATTCTATAAAATAATATTTATATTGCATATATTTTTTATTTCACTATAATTTTTAAAATATTTAAATATATATTTTATTTTTTAAGTATATGTATTAAATTTTATTTTAAAATGACAAATATTATTAATTTAATTACGAGTATAAAATAATATCATAATTCCTTTTATTATTTAATTAAATATTTTTATTTTGAAGTCGATTATCTTTCAAACAGGCGGTGTATTTTATAAGAAATATATATATATATACAATTTAATATTTTTTAGAATTTATGTAAAGAAAGTTGACACCTTGCTGAATATGTTCGACAAAGGATCCGGCGATGTTTTCTACTCCACGTGGCTAGACAGCTCCGTCTCGTGAAAAGAGAATTTGATGCGGTTGCAAAATGATAAGAAATTTAGATGAAATACTCCCTCTATTCAATTTCAAAGTACTTCTTTTACTATTTTTATCTTGTCTCACTAAAAAATATCTCTTTCTTTCTGTTGAAAATAGGACTAGATTATAAATTGTTTTGTATTTTTTGTTTTTGTAGTCACCAGTGTGCGTGCATGCGCAGTCCAATCGTTCAGAATTTTCAGATTTGATTTTGGAAGTAAGTTGTTCTTGCTGTTGTGTGAGTCAATCAAATTTGGAGCCAACATTTTTTTTTTTTTTTTATGTAAAAGTAATCATACACTAATACTAAAATACCTTTAACTTTTATTGAAATTACAAACATATCATTACAACTACAATTACTTTTTACATAAAATTAGAGGGCAGAAATGTCAAAATTTCTTACACACTTCTACTTATCAATAAAATATTATTATTCTTTAATTTACTACAAAATCTCAAAGGACCATTTTCAAATAGGACGAAGGGAGTATGATATTTTTGTTAAAAAAATATATATTTAATTTGATATTTTTAAAAATAAAATAATATCAATGTATAAAATTATTGTACTCCCTCCGTCCTATTTGAAATGGGTCTTTGAGATTTCATAGTAGATTAAGAAATAATAGTATTTTATTGGTCAGTGAAGTATATAAGAGGTTTTGACATTTTTGCTATTTTATGTAAAAAGTAATTATATGTGTAATTATATGTTTATAATATAAATAAAAGTTAAGGTATTTTAATATCAATATATGATATTTTTACTTGAAAAAAAGAAGAAGAAATGATTACTTTTGAATGAGACGGACGAAAATGATAAAAAAAAAAAAATACTTTAAATTGAGACGGGTTGAATATTTTTTTTAATATCCTACACATTCACACGACATACGTACCCATCTGGATCAAACTCGGGACTTATCCCAAAATGAGAGATGAGATGACTAATATGCTTCTATCCAAGACCACTCCTTTGGAGTGTGTTGGTCCAAAAATCAATCAAATACCTAACAACAAAAACAGTTCATTTCAAAAATCAATTTAAAAAAAATCTCTCAATATAGACTCGTTGTTTGTTGGACGATCCGACAGTAACATTGTGACTAGTAATCTTGAGGTCATAAGTATATACTCCAATGCCATCAGATTATATGTATCACGCATGATTTGTCTAGTCTAACTTGTTTTGCCATGCTTAATTCGCAAGTTGTATGATTCAGCCGATAACTATTATTTAAGTGCGCTCTGAATAAATTCATTAAATAAAATGTGAATCCGATTGTCCAAATTCATTAAAGATATTTTAGTTATCTTTTCCTTTAAACATGCATTTTTTTTTTCTTTCTCACAACATTCTTCTTATTATATCATACTTTTATTATAACAAAGATCCAGGAATTACAAGAAAAGTAATAATACGTTTGTAATGTGAGTAAAAGTTAAAAGGTATTTTGGTATTAGTGTATGATTACTTATTCGAAAATTGAAAATGAATATTTTGAAATAAGACAAACAAAAATAGTAAAAATAGTATTTTGAATTAGGACGAATATATAAAATAAAAAATAAATATTTAATTTGATAATTTTTTAAAAAATAAAATTAATAAATAATACTTACAAGATTAGGTGACTTTATTAAATGCAAAACCTAGTAGTTTTTAACTACTAAATATTTCTTTTAATGTTGTACTAATATTGCAATGCAATAATTTTTTTTCGTGAATTTTGGGATATTGAACAAAGAGGAGGAATAAATAATAGAAATAAAACATTTTCTTTTAAATAATTATCGCAAATAAATGGATTATTTACCGGACAACCGCTAACGGGTCCAAGCGGCCAAGCCATAGGTTTTTTTAAAATATTAAAAGTCATTTTTTAAATATTTAATATAAAAAATAATTATATAATAAAAAATTCAAATACTAAATATTTTAAAATAAATATTTTACATAAATTGATTCAAAATTTTAAATATCATTGATCGGTATATTTTTTTTAAAAAAAAATTGCTAATTGCAAATATTTAAACAATAAATAAATATTATTCTTTCGGATGTTCCAATAAATTCTAGAAAAAAAATAAAAGAAAATGAAAATTTAATAAAACGAAAAAAAAATTTGAAAGAAAAAAAAAAACAATATAGCCGAAACAGTCATAAAAAAGTAAAAACACAGACAATAGTATATTAATTAATTAGTTTAACATAATATAAAAATTTTTAATAAATTAATAATTAGATTCACGTTAATATAAAAAAAAAAATTTAAAAACTACCATAAACTATAGGCTAAATTGTACAAAATTTATATGCGATTTCATAAAATTGCGTCAAATCCCCTAAATTTCTAAAATTGCGTCAAACTCCCTCTTAGTCTCATAAACTCTGCGTCTAACCCCCTTGACGCTCCTTATTTAACGCTATTTGACATAAATGCGCCCAAACTGCGAATAAACTTTAGAATATCAATTTCTAAACCCCTAAAATTACAAATATATATTTTTTTCTTATATTTAGCCTAAAAAAATATTACCTCCGTCCAGTCACAAAGTACACAGTAACATTTTTGTATTGATATTTAAATATTAATTATTATATCAAAATAAAGTACAAACAAAGAGAAAAATATAAAAATACATCTATTAGTCTCTTATAATACAAATACAATAATATTTTTGGAATAAATTATACAAATATAAGGATATTTTTAATATTAAGTACAATGACGCAAAATCATCTGTTTACTTCCTGGCTGGACGGAGGTAATAGTAAATATACTCAAAATTAGTTATTTTTCTCATGTTTTAAGAGTTTATTTTTACTGTTTTTTAAGCTAAATATAAGAAAAATAAATATATTTGTAATTTTAGGAGTTTATAAATTGAGATTTTAAAATTTATTCGCAATTTGAGCGCATTTAGGTGAAATACCGTTAAATAAGGAGCGTCGAAGGAGTTACACGCAGAGTTTACGAAACCATGAGGGAGCTTGATGCAGTTTTTAAATTATAAGAATTTAGCGCAATTTTGTAAAATCACAGGTAAATTTTGTGCAATTTAGCCTAAAATATAATACACGCTCATCCTATAGGTATACATCTTTTTATATAAAATTTTGAATATTAATATTTTATATATAATACAAAATATGTATTAATAGTAAATTTTACCCATTAATATATATATATATATAGTTAAGCAATGATAGATTTTTTTTATAATAATATGTAAGTCAGTAAAAATTATTTGAAAAAATTATATAGTAAGTATATATTAATTTGGGGTAGACCAAAATAACATACATAGATTTATTTGAAATATTGTAAATATAATATGAATATTAATATAATTATATTTATTTGCCCTACAAACTAATTCGTCTCATTGCGAACTTAAAGGTCTATTTGACTTCGCTAAAAACATAAGTAGAAGTACAAAACACAAGCAGATAGATTTTATATTTCGATAAATTATTATAAAAACAGCATTTTATAAAAAATCTTAAAAATACTTTTAAACTAATAAACTTACTTAAAGAATATACATTTAATATAATACTCCCTCCGTCCAATTATAATATACATATTTACTTTTGGCACGGTGTATAAAAATAATAGTATTTTAATTATAATAAGTGGTTAAAAATAGTGTAATAATATTTTTGTTTTTATTTTTTTTTAGATAAAAGTAACTATGTGATGTAAAATAAAGATATTTGTAAAAAAAAATTAGAGAATTTAATGAAATATTTACTTTATAATTAAACGTTCCAAAATAGAAACATATATACTTTTTAGCCAGACGGAGAGAGTAATATTTTTCTATAACACTTTTATAATTTATTTTAAATTTATTAATTATATTTAAAGATTTTACATTACAGTATAAAAAATATACTTTTAAAATTTGATTATTTATATTTTAAAATTTTAATTTAAAGATAATATATCAATTAAAAATAAAATTACAATATAATATTAAATTGTTTGTATTTTATAATTTATTTTAAAATTTTATAAATTGTATTTAGTAATTTAAGTATAATTAAAAAATTTATATACTCATATTCAATTTGGTATCTCAATTTTAAATTTTAATCTAAGTATAAGTATATAAATTAAAAATAATAATATCATTATCTTTTTTAATTTTTATTAAAATATAATATATAAATTAATATTTTTATATTATATTACATGATAGTATTGTATTTATTATTATTATTATTAGAGATAAAATGGTAATTTAACCTGGAAAAGACTTTTGAAAAGAAAATACTTTTCTAACTTAAAAAAATGCTTCTGCTTTTAAAGAAAAGTCAAGACAAACATGTACAAAATGTCCTTTTAGACTTCTAGCAGAAGTCATTTCAAACGGCCTTAATTCGCTCTCAACCTGACGCCAGTGTAAGTTGGCTTGTTTAAGGCCGTATTTTAAAAGACTTAAAAGTATAAAACCCAACCAACTTTAAAAGTGGGGCAAAATAGATCAGCCCAACAGGACTCAACCATTTTAACACTTCTAATAGTAATTTTACTATAACAATTAACTTTAAAGGAAAAAAAAAATGATGGCACTTTAAGGGTGTGTTTGTTTGGGGGTTTGGATTTTGAATTGGAATTTGAATAGTAAAAATTTTGAATTTGAATAGTTGTACGATGTGATATAAATAAGTATTGATGTGATGTTTTGAATGTAAAATTGATTTTTAGTATAACATAAAAAATGAAAAATAAGTGTTTGATTTGATGTTTATTAGGGGAAAAAATTGAATGAATAATATAAATCCAATCCAATCCTCCAAACAAACACACCCTAAGTGTATTTTCAATAAAATTTAAATAGTCTTATTATAAAAATTTTCACAATTGACAAGGAATTCCGAGCTTATCGGACATAATATCCTGCAAATAATATCAGGTACATAAGCCACCTTAAACAAACCTGTAATAACAGGCTCGACCAAAAAGACAGTAGCAGAATTAGAATTTGTTACCTTGCAGTCACTGCAACGAGAAATGCTGGTATTTATCAGAGTCAGCTTGTGCCGCCGGAAAGAATGCCCAACCGAGAGAGATCCTCCCGCAATGAATCTGCATCATTGAACTGAATACCGATAAAGCCAGCATCGGCAGCAGCATCTACATTTTTCGCCCTGGAGAAGAAGTAACACAATACAGTTCAGCTTAACCATAGAAAATAATGCGCAGAAAAGTAGTTTGTTACTAGCAAACCACGACAAAAAGCATCCATTTACCGAATAGCTGAAGATTAACATAAAGAGGAGATAAGAAAGTGCGAGTTATGCCCATGTAAAATCCGAAAATGCATAGAATTTGACATGCCACTGCAAGTATAAGAGCATTCTTTCACCTTGAATGAATCCGATTGGTTGGCTTAGGAACAAATATTCTAAGGGTGTGTTTGTTTAGGGATTTGGATTTGAATAATAAAAATTTTGAATTTAAATAGTTGTATGATGTAATATAAATAAGTATTGATATGATGTTTTCAATATAAAATTAATTTTTAGTATAATATAAAAAATAAAAAATAGGTGTTTGATTTGATGTTTTTCGGGGGAAAAATTTGAATGAATAGTGTACTTAGGGGAAAATCCTCCAAACAAACACACCCTAAGGGTGTGTTCTTTTGTCAAACTTTATCAGATTTCTACTACTAAAAAAAGATCAAATCAAATACTTATTTTTTTTTTTATATTATACTGAAAATTGATTTTATATTCAAAATATTAAACACCTATTTATATACTACTCCCTCCGTTCAACTACAAAATATACATATTTCTATTTTGGGATGTCCAATTACAAAATAACTATTTCATTACCCACTTTTTTTTATAAATACCTTTCGTTTACATCGCATCGTTACTTTTATACCAAAAAGTAAGGGCAAAAATGTCATTACACTATTTTTACATACCCACTATAATTAAAATACTATTATTTCTTAAACTCCGCGCCAAAAATAAATGTATACTTATTGCTTGGACAGAGGGAGTATATCATAGAACTATCAGATTTAAAATTGTTACTATTCAAATCCCAAATCAAAATCCAAAACCCTAAACTCACACACCCTTTTGAATTCAGATTGTGGTCGTGGAGGCGTTGGGGGCAATGATCGTAGACAATTAGATATTGGTGATGCTATGTTCTAAGCTCGACCCATATTCCACAACACAGCGGGGAAAACAGGTTTAGAGGTTATTAACAAACCTGTCATCGATAAAGACACAGCATGCCGGATCAACCTTCAAGTGCTTCAAGATATCCGTGTAAAATTCTGGGTCGGGCTTCCTTTTTCCTGCACTCAAACAAACTTTGGCATAAACACAAACTCAGAATATAATCATGAGTTTCCAGGAACTATCCGACAAATGAATAGTGTGTTATATATGGATAACTGATCCTTCTCCAAAATCAGCACAGCGTTAAAAATGTTAGATCATATATTGGGTTATAACCGAATGCTCAAGCTATGCTAATTATTGCCACAACATTTAGGTACTTATCAATGTAAAGTTCAACTTACATCAGCCGAATGCATAATCTGATAATGTGAATATTTGCATCACTATTTTCCTATATTTAAACGCAAGAAACCTAATTCAAAATTAAATATTGAAGTGCATGAGACTAGTAAATGACAATAAATTAAAAATCGTAAGGAGCAAGGGTACCCATTATGCATGAACAAAATGTCCAGGAAATGTACGTGGAGAGTTTTAGTTTCTCTTCAATGATTTCATACCTGCAATAGAAGACAGATAAATAAAACTATAGGTTTGTCCATTCAACAATTTTTTGATGACACAATTCCCAATAAATTTTAATAAAAAATACAATATATACACACATTCACATAATATAAATAATATATATTATATTCTTTCACAAAAAATCACAATTCTAACACAAAAATATTATTTTTTATATTATCCATACAAACTCAAATTTCATATAAAAAAATCACTCAAACTAAAACACTAAATAAATGGCCCCTATGTAAACACACACAAACAGCTCGCATATAAACTTGAATGCATTCTTTGGAACTTAGAAGTACCAGATCGGATAATTAGTTGCCGTATGCATTTCATATCCACTACTCTTTAAATCAACTAGTAACCCTTCAACTCCTTTGATGTAAGAATATCCTTGTCTCATGCAGCTTTTTAGGCCTGTAGGGAAGCAATTCTATCCGTAACGCTTCGGTTGCAGTTAAAGACAGGATTGACACCAAATAAACTGTAAAGCTCGAGAATTGAAATTTACCCTCATAATACCTCAGAAAGAGATCTTAAAAAAATAATACCATTAAAAGTTTAACAGTTGCAGGACCACATATACTCTTCAACAACTCAAGTAAACATATATATACATTTCACTCTCGGTATACTAGTAGTGAAGTGAAAATAAAAGATAATCTCATCACTTTGATCATAGTCCTGGTGTGGGCACCGTCCCATTTAGTAGCCCAGCCATTCTGACAAGAGCAGTTAAGACCTTTTCCTAAAGCCCTTACTAAACCACCACCTAAGGACCACCGACGATAGCATCATGCAGCAAAGGTACAGCTGATGTGGGAAAAAATTAGCAGGCATCAGGAAACTATTAAAGAATGGTTGTGGGTAATGAGAAGGAGGTCGCGGTAACACTAGATCTTAGAGATCACTCCAGATTTAGGGATTTTATGCCATTAGTTATGTACAATTTACTCTAGTTCCTCAAACATTTCCCTGATATTTTAACACATACTATAAATTTGATTGCTAGAGTATTTCATGCAAATTTGTTCAAAATTATTTTTTATTTACAATATAAGCTATATTAACTTTTTTGCAATTTGCAAGATAGCAAATTAGGCATCTCTTGGGAACGTGAACATGGACCTCATGTCACATGAAGGACTAGGTGGTTGAAAATAATTTGGCAGTAGAAAAATGAAGATAGCTTGCCAGAAAAGCGAGCATGATTTATTCCGAAAAAATGGCGCAGTAAGATAAGCAAAGTAACATCTTAATTGCCATTCTATGTCCTTGAATCACATATAATTTCAAATAACTCAGGCTAGTTTCGTGTATACGAAAACAAATTCAAAACACACACAGACACAAAGTTCAAACGCTCATTTAAAAATTTTGAGAATTGCCAAGAAAGCAACTTCGAATAATGGTTGAATCACCATTACAAGTGCAGTATTTGGCTGAAACAGTTTGAAACTATCCAAAGAGTGATTGTGATCTAAAATTCATAATGTAACTATAAGGCTGTGGGTGCACTGGTCTCACTATATGACATGTAAAAGAAGAAAATCATAATATACTTATTGAAACTCAAGTTACCTTCCAAATCAATTGGTCTTCCATCTTTAAAAAATATTTGAGCCAGCTCCATCTGAGAAGAGAACTTCAATATATGCTTGAATACACGTGTGTATGTATGCGTGCATGTCGTGAGTGTTATGGCTGTGAACACTAAAATGCCTAGAAAAAGGTAGTGAAAGAAGAATGGGAGGGGGGATGATCTTGCATCCCTATCACGCCTTTGGTAAAGTAATTGCTATAACTAAAATTAAGGTTACAAACAAAGGCCAAAGATAGAAGACATACAAGAAGTGGATTTTAATGATATTTTGCAACTAATATAAAATCTTCTTTTGACTTACTCAAGGAATCGTTTGATAATTATAGCACCCTCTAGGCATTTCTTTCAAATACTCGGTTATAAGCGAATTCTAGCCACAAAGTTGCAAAAACTAGGCATATCTTATGACAAATTTGTATATTTGCTTCATAGCACCAATCTTGACACTTATCTCATGATTGTGCTGGATCACACTTTATGAAATACGTTCAATAGATGTAATCTTGTATCCTTTTTGCACTTTTATGAGCATATACCTATCACTTGGAGAGTGGCTCAGTTAATTTCCACAACCATCGTATGATTATTGAGTCCTCACCATCGTGGTAAATTTTATTTATATAAAATTGGTCTACTTCCAAGTCAGGGCCACTCTCTCCCCTCACCTTTCGAGGTACATGCATACAGTTTGCGATATTTGAGTAAATTCTCCATTTTCCTGGCACAAGCTTATAAAATCCTGTTAATCTCAAGTTTTTTTATTTTCCAAGAAATCCTCAAATGATAACAAACTTTCTTTCAAAGGCAAACATGATGGAACAAAGGTAGAATAAATTTTTTATGCAAAATGGGGTTCAAAACAAGAATTAGAAAGAGAAGAAGGCAAAACAGTTGCAACAAGAATTAAGCAAGGAATCGTATGACTGGCAGCCACACAGGTGAGTCCCAAAAAACAAAAAAACTAATATGTTGTGGCTGTCATGGTGTGTCAGAAAGAACTAAAAAAACCGGGTGTGTTTGTGTTTTCAACTTTTTATTTTCGTACTAAGTAATCTCCAAAAATATATTTTGTTCATCTAAGAAATTTCACATTATTCACATCCAATACCTACTTCCATTTAAAACATCGCATCCAAAACATAATTTCCATTCAAAAATTTTCAAATGCAAAATACGCAAAAGCATTCAAACACACAAAAACACAAATATGTCAAATAATGGAAAAATATATCTGCAACTAAAGTGTGAACTATAAACTCTCATTCATAGTCTAAATTATGTACAAGGTATTATTAATTTATTATATCAAATAGAGGAAACTACATGTACAATGCCTACAACAATTCATTGAGTGAAAACTCTTCGACTTTCCTAATATGTTCTAGTTGTGAGTGTCACACCTTCTATTCTATACATAAGTCCTTATCACATGATACAGTTCACTGAGAAATTGTAAAGATAATAACTTCAGTTACCACGTGCAAAACATCCAGAAGTACATAAATTCTCTACCTAGTAGCCTCGGGAAATTGACAAGAACTTCTAGAAAATGTTGATCCTCTCACACCTGCAAAGTGGAATTTTCTAATCTCTGTGAATCACTAGCAATTTTCTTATTATCTTTGTTTCAAGATACATCTAAACCCCAATTATCATCACATAGGATGTCAAAGAGCCAATTCCATCGTAAACTGATGTAACCAAGTTACTTATTATATAAATAAACACTAATCACAAGCAATCAAACCCCTCCCCACCACACGTACTAATTGTTGGCTACTTCCTTACAGGGTTAGCTCCATCGATAGTTCCTAGCTTCAGAAATCACGTCAACATCAAACTGGACAGTCAAAGAGCAACAGAAAAGATTATTACAGGCTCCAGTGGCACTCTAAACACCATTAAGATGAAGTTAACCGCAGCAACAAAATACTAACAAACAACATGTTCTGGGCAAAGTATTCCCAAGAGCATGCCTTGATGGATAATATCAGCTCCAGTGTTGGGTGTATATTATCAGAAACTCCATTGAAAACCAAAGACCAATACTTGACTAATATACCTCATTAATATGTCCTTTTTCGAACTCAATCCATGCAGTCGGATGCTTGCATTCTAGAAGCTCCTTCATTGACATTCTGAAGATATATAAACCAATTGACAACTGATCAAAGCAAATCAGGAACTAACAATCGAGATAACATTCAAAAACTAAAATTAATCCAAAAATTCGTTTGTATCAATGCGTTTGGATCCTCGATTCAATCCTAGAATTGGAATCAGAATTGAAAAGAAAGTTTCGGTAATGTTAACCGTTCCAAAACCCTGAAACAATACTGCCCAAAACCTAACCGAAAGTAACGGAAAGCAAGATTACCCGAAGAAGGCAGGAATATCGTCATAAAAGGGGTCCCGAACAAGAGTGTCCATGATGTCGAACAGAAGAATCGGAAGCTTTCTGCTGGTTGTCTGCTGCGCAGAGTTAAGATTGGAAATGGCCGCAGTGGCGCCGCCGGCAGTGCGGGTTTGGATAGAAAGAGGCATTTCGTTGGCAGCGTAAGAAGACGTTGATGGGGGTCGTTGCGCATCCAGTTTCACCATGGGAGAAGCGCCAAATCTCCAAACAAACCTTAGACTTAGAGCAGCCATTCAGAGCCAGCGGCCACTGTAATCCACTTTCTTTCATGCCGATGTTTTCCTTTCTTTTCTTTTTCTTCAGTTCTAAGCTTTAGCTATTGAGACAATACTAAATATAATAATTGAATATTAATTATTATATAAAAATATAATATAAATTTAAAAAAAATAAAAATATTTTTATTATTAATTTATAATACTATTATGATAACAATTATATTTTTAATATTAAATATACAAAACTAAATGAGATTTTTAATTATATATTTTTTTAAAAATTTATGTGTATCATACATTATTTTAATATCAAATTTAAATAAAAATTTTCAAATCAAATAAAAAAAACAAACCCTTACTATTCAGTGGAGAGATTTTTTACCGTCCAACTTACAACAAGAATTGGTAAAATAGATATTTTAATAAATCTGCCCGATCAGGCATGGCCTGTGCCCTTGTAATCTAAGGTGTACTCTTAAAAATGGGACCAAATCCTCTATTCCCAAATCCCCCTCTTTCCTCTATTTCACCAAATAAAATTATTGACATATGAATGAGAGAGATAAAAAAATATATATATATATAAGAGATAGAATATGAATAAAATTTAAAATTTATTTATTTTAAAATTATATTTTTGTTATTTATCATTTTTGTTTATTTCAAAATATAAATATAAATTATATCTCAAATTATTTTTTATTTTTATTTTTATATTAATTTATCATATTTTTTTAAAAAAAAAATTCATCTCAAGAATTGCTTAGATATAATTTTAGATTATTATTAAGAAATTTATTATTTTATATATATATATTATATTATTCTTTACAAAATATCATATTATATATTTTTTAAAATTTAAATGTTATATAAAAAACTATTTAAATAATAATTTATGTAATATTCTATTCCTATAATTATATCTAAATGGTATTTTTTACGGTAATATTTAAAAAAATAAATAAATTATATTTTTACAATTAAATAATAGAATAATAAAACTAATAATTTTTAAGAAAAAAAATTAATAAGTAATAAAAATATAAATTTTTAAAATATATAAATTTTAAATTATATTCATATAAACTATTTTTTAATTTTTTCTCTCTCCTCACTCTATGTGTCATAATTTTATTTGTTGGAATAGAGGGAATAGGAAAATTTAGGAATATAAGATTTGGTGTCCTTTTCATGTACAATTGTACTCTAGATTGTTTAAATAAAGATTGATTGAACTGTAGTTTTGCCTCACTTCAGGTGAAATTCAACTTCATTTTGGTGCGTTTATTTTTTTGTAACAGCCTGCTTCGCTGGCATGTTGGTTAGATACAATTCAAAAATTTTCTATCTTAATTTTTGAAAATTATACTGAATTATGATCGAATTTTTAGACCGTGACTATTTTTTGCCATATATACGTTCAATTCATCAATGCATATAGATAGAAATATGTATCCTTTAAGTGTTTGCATCTCGTTATACCATAATAAGCTTCATATTTACTTAAAAAAATATTTTTTTTCTTTTCTTTTAATTTTAAAATAATTTAATAAAAACTTTATTAAAGTAGTCTACATAAGAATTACACCCACAACTATATCTACATAACACAGAAACTTTATCATTAAACCATAGTTTAATTTGTGTTTTTATTTTTATTTGTTGTTAATATATATATTAAATAGTATTAAATATTAATTTTAATAAATCAGGTGTGGTCATGCACGGTCCGACTTTTATGGACCCGGGCACGGCTCGGTTCATTAGCGTGCCGGGTTAGACACGACTCAAAAATTTTCGGGTCTACTTTTAGAAATCTAAGTACAGTTTTTTCGTGACGAGAAATCTTTCAGAGTGTGCGTGAGTGAGAACAAAACACGTTGAAAATGCTCGTGTTGACTTTTGGGGTCAGTCTAACTTCGAAATGCCCGATCTACATGACTAAAGGGCCGGGGTGTTAACAGTTAGTATCAAAGCCAATTGGCAACAACTCATAGTCGTTGACCAGAGTATTAACGGGAAAAACAGTTGATGAATTCTTAGAATGCAATATAGATGTTGCATTTTTAAGTGGGGGAGGATGTGATATCCCAGAATTGGGCTAGTGCTAGGCTAACTCATGTATATATGTGAGCCAGTGTTATGCCATCGGAGATTAAATAGATTAAATGAATTGAATAGATACTCATGTCAACAATATATACTTTCCTTTTTTCGGGAGCTAAGCGTGCTAGCTCTAAGGTAATTTCAAAATTGGTGACTCCCTGGAAAGTCTTTCAGAGTGTGCGTAAATAAGGATAAAGCGCGCTGGTATGACTCGTATTGATCTGTAGGACTAGTATAATCTCGACACGTCCACTCTGCGTAGCTTGCGGGTCGGGGTATCAGAAGTAACATCTCCCTTCTCTTAGACACTGGCTTTGTCTCATAGTCAACAATGCTTTCAAAATTTATTTGTTTCACGTCATTACAGTATCATCACAATTTATCAAAATCACGCATTTCTACGCTATATATAGTTTGAACTGCAATTTTATTTGCTAACCATGCCTGCTTATAGCTAATTTTAACTTTGTAGTTAACTTTTATGTCTTTTACTATATTAGTTGGTCTATACAACGCAGTTATCCTTAACTTCTCTTTTATGATCTTGGCTATCCATGGAGAGTCGGCACGTGGATAGCCTCAATTCTAAAGATTATGTTCACCACATGTATGTTGCATGTTAAAGTTACATATGCGAAATGAAACCTTTATTACATGATAAACGATATATATACACCACTCACAACCCCCTTTGTTATATACAAAACTCATCTTCTTGTCGTCATTTTTTTTATAGAAAGAACAACGGGTGGCAACAACATAAATTTTCACTGTAATACAAAACTCATTGGCATAAAAAAAAAAATTGATTATTCTTGGCTAGAGAGCGAAAAAAGGAATTCAATGGTTTCGATCTGACAATTATTATTTCATTATTTAAAATTATATGTCAATGTCTCTGCACAAAAAAAAAAAAAAAAAAAAAAAGCGAGTTAATATTAATATTAACATACTAGATAATATATCTTGATAGACAAACAATACATGTAAGATTTTGAACTACGGATTGCTTCGGTGTTCGATAATACTATCATATCAATCATCATCAATTTTAAATTTAGATACATACGTATCATATTTGCATCATCTTCGAACGCAATCCAATGTAACAAATAGCTTTTGTAGTGGAGCTATATATTGAACTCTTGTTAAATTATTACTCCCTTTGTCCCTTTTGAAATGAGCATTTTGAGATTTTTGTAATAAATTAAAAAATAATACGATTTAATTAGTTAGTGAAAGTGTGTAAAAAATTTTAACGTTTTTGCTATTTGAATTTTTGTATAAAATAATTGTACGTGGAATAATATATTTGTAATTTAAATAAAAATTAAGAGTATAATATATTTGTAATATATCAGTGTACAATTAATTTTATTAAAAAGAAAGTGATACTTTTGTGTGGAATATAAAAAAATAATAAAAATGATAGTTTGAATTAGAACGAATAGAATATTAATTTTATCTCTATTTACACTTTAATTTTTTTTAAAAAATATCCACTAAGGTAGCATCTAATTCTATTGATAGTAAATATAGTTCTCGGTCATCCTTATAAGCAAGAAGAAGACTATATATATATATTTTTTACCTAATATTACTATATTACAGTAAAAAAGATTAAGATATTAAAAAATAGTAATACTAAAAATTATATGAAAACAACAAATAAATAGTATAAGACCTTATAGATAATTTAAAGTGTTAAGTATAGAAAATACCCTATTGATAATAAAAAAACGAAATAAATAATTTATGATGAAGAGTTAAATAGGAAAAAAAAATTACTAATAAAAAGTTATAAGAAAGTTGACTTATTCAAAGAATTTAAACGAGGGTGTCTCTATTATTTTAAATGTTACTTCCTCTGTCCCATATAATAATACGAGTGTATTAGTAAAAATAATTATTATATAATAAAAGTAATTATTGATTAAGATTAAAATAATTAAATAATATTTAATTAAAATTAAAAAATTTAAAATTAAAAATATAATTAAAATGTATAATTATATTACGAAAAAAAAATATAAATTATATTAGACGAAATAAAATAAAAAATAGAGATAAATTATATTTGAAGGATGACCAACTTTTTTAAGAGGATAATAAGGGGAAGTGTGTTATTATAAAAAAAAAAAAAAATGGGGGAAGAAATTGAGCAAACAAACCTATGTGTTCATCGAAACAATAACATGCTTCCTTTATTTTATACATAAACACAAAAAACAGGAACACTCCGCATTATTCTGCCGTCTGAAATTCTCCAGAGTCAACAATCGAATCCAATCTATTTACCTACGCGCCGGACACTTGCCTAAACGGCGGTGACGGCGACGGCGACGTCGGCACCATCGACCATCCACTTTCCGGAAGCAGCATCCTTTTCTATACTCACGACAGCCGTCAATTTCTAAGGTGTGTAATTTTGGGGTAATTTTTCCCAGATACTACTCTAGTTAAGTTTCTACGGCGTAGTTACTGAAAAACCTCGCCGTGTTTGTTAATAATCTGAAATCTATAACGGTGAATCGGCTCTATTGGCTGCATTAGAAGTCTCTTTGAGCTTGAGCTTAATATTTGGCCGGAACTGGAATTGTGTGAATACACTATTGCACTTAGAGGATCAGTGACAAGATTCTTTGTGGATGATTATACCGTAGTCAACTTTTGGTTTTCGAATTTTAGTCAAGTAGATTTCAAGGCTCAGTCGTGGTGCCGACGATGAAAGTGGTGGCGCTAGTCAGTGGCGGTAAGGACAGTTGCTATGCAATGATGAAGTGCCAGCAATATGGACACGAGGTTGTTCTTTATCTTTGATTGAATGTAACTGTGTCTGTAATTGTTTTGGAGTCCGTTTCTGTTCTGAATTTACTTTTGTCGTTTGAATTATGGCTCTTTTCAGATTGTGGCACTGGCAAATTTGATGCCTGTTGATGACGCACAGGATGAGATTGACAGTTACATGTATCAAACAGTAAGGCTTTGCTTGCTTTCCTTTCGTTTCAGTCCCACATCTTGATTGATATGAAATAGAACTAATTTTATTGTGTGTGTGTTAGGGTTGGGATGTTTATTCCTTACATTTAGAGCTTTGAATAAATAAATTTGATATGGTAGGATACTGGAAGCTATTGTGTTTTTATATGAGGATTGTGTTGTGTATATTGTAAAGTGTCTTGAACTTTAACATGATTGATGATTGTCTAACGTGGTCCCTGGAAACGAAGATACACAAAGAGAGAAAAAAAATCTTTAATTTTGTTGCACATAGTGTTTTTATATTCCTTCCACTCCAAAGCTAGCCATTATTCTCTGTAAGGGGATTTCAGTCAGTGCATGCTAAGTCGCTGCATTTTCATTTCTACAATGGAATATGTCAATGGAAAAATAACTAAATTAGGATGCAATTGTATTATTATTTAGAACTCTTCATTGACTATAGTACTTGCTTGATTGACCTTGACTAAACTCATGTGTATTTCTAGTTTAGTGGAATATATTATTGAAGCTATTCTCTATGACAAGTAACTGCAATGATAATATATATATTTAAATATAGTCAATGAGTATATCTTAGTTTGTAGTATCTTAATTAGTTAAAGGTGTTCAAGTTGAATTTCAATTGCAGGTTGGGCATCAGATAGTTGTCAGCTATGCACAATGTATGGGAATTCCATTATTTCGAAGACGAATTCATGGGTCCACCAGGCAAGTCCTTAAATTGGAAGCTTTTGGTATAATTAGATTTTCAACTACATGGAAAGCTATGTCACATTTTGTGTTTGATTGGATATCCAAAATAATATTCGCTCTTCAATCTCATTGATAGCTTGACCTGTGTTTGATTGTTGGTTTTATTCAATCTTTGTTATTGGGATTCTAAAGCAAGTTAGATTGTATTATGCTACTTAGAGTTGATGTAGCTTCCATGTTGTACAAAGGGAACATTTAACCTTGATCATAAGCTTTTAAAGCATGATTGAATGAATTTTTCACACATGTAACTGACTTGCTACCTTCATTTTTTTATTTTTCAAGTCGAAATCATACTTCTATTTCATTTCAGTTTTAGCTTCTGTCTTTCGTGTCAGCCACATTGCACTGTGTATCCTGCTGCCTTAATTTTTGTTTTTTTAGCTAAATCAATAGTCAATCGTTAAAACTTATTTTTGGCTTCACAGGCATCATGCTCTTAGCTACAGTACAACTCCTGGTGATGAGGTTGAAGATATGTTCATCCTTTTAGAGGAAGTAAAACGGCAGATACCCTCTATTTCTGCAGTCTCCTCAGGTGCAATTGCATCTGACTATCAGAGGTTACGTGTGGAAAGTGTTTGTTCTAGGTTAGGGCTTGTTTCTTTGGCTTATTTGTGGAAGCAAGATCAGTCGCAGTTGCTTCAAGAAATGGTAGAATTTTTAATTTTTATAAGTTATAGGTGTGGTGGTTGTGTTTAGATTTTTGGTTCTATTCTATGTTGATAGTTGAAATGCTAAACCATTATAATTTCTTTTTTGTTCCAGATACAAAGTGAAATCATTGCCGTCACTGTGAAGGTGTGCAAGCTTTCCTTTCTATTTGTTTACCGGTTTTCGATCTAGCTTTTTCATACATCTTACATGTAATCTTCTGGCCTTTAGTTTATCTAGATCTTGCTTAACATGGAAAATTGTCAGTCCCTGAGTTGTAATTCTAATCTCTGTATTAGAGACACTTTACCCAAAATTATTGTTTATTCTCCTGTAGCTTGATTTACTCCATGTGAATTTGAGGAAATTCTCAGTCATAATAGCAATAATAATAATAAAACCCTTCTCGTTATCAGTTTTAATTTCTAACTTCTTATTATATGCTTGAACTACCTATTTTTTCTTTGCTAGGTTGCAGCTATAGGGTTGGACCCTTCAAACCACTTGGGAAAGGAAATTAGACATTTAGAGTCTCATCTTCAGAAGCTTAAAGGGTAGGCTAGGGAACTTATAATTATTATTCTGTTGCATATAAATTTCATGTCATTGTTGTTCTGTTCTATTGGCAGTTTATATGGCATTAATGTATGTGGAGAAGGAGGAGAATATGAAACTTTAACTTTGGACTGCCCCCTCTTCAAAGTAAGCTTGCATTTTTCTGATCTTACTCTTTTGAGGATTTGAATGTTTTTTGCAATCTGTGTAATTAACATTAAACTTTTTTAAACCCCTCTCTCTGTTTATATTCTAACCTGTACATCTTTTCCAGAAATTTCGTATTGTACTAGATAAATATCTAGTTGAATTACATTCACCAGATCAAATAGCTCCTGTTGGGGTTCTTCATCCTGTGGAATATCATTTGGAAGGAAAGTTGGACTCACTGTCTGCCAATGTTGATGGAAAAAGCAATGTGGTCCCCACAGGGGTATCCAATTTGGTACATGAAGTAGTGGGAAATTACCAAGACATGTTGAAAACTTCATCACTAAACAATGATATGGTATCAGATTTAGCACAGGATATGAGAAAAGAACTTCACATCTCAAAATCCGCGAAGGATAACAGTATTTCAATTGCTTGCTGGTTGCAGGATTCTTCTAAAGCCTCAGTTGGTATGGCATTTTATTATATTTGGTTATTTTTTGGGTGCATTATCATTCTAATTCAGTAATTCGGCAGATGTACGAGATGATCTTAAGGTGGCTCTAACAAGACTTGAACTGCTGCTTGTTGAATATAATTGCTCTTGGGAGGATGTTCTTTATATCCATCTATACATAGACAACATGAAGGATTTTGTGCCAGCGAATGAAGAATATGTGAAATTTATTACTCAAGATAAGTGTCGATTTGGTGTGCCATCACGCTCTACCATAGAACTTCCTCTATCAAAAGTTGGTATGGGAAGAGCGTACATCGAAGTCTTGGTGTCAAAGGATAAAAGTAAAAATGTTTTGCATGTGCAAAGTATTTCCGAGTGGGCTCCTAGTTGTATTGGTCCATACAGCCAGGTTAGATATCATTCAAATTTCTTTTGTATTAGCTCTCTCTTGTTATTTTGTTCTTCATATATCCCTTTTCTTTTTCCATTTTTTTTTTTTGTATAGATGGAAGCACATAATTTACATTAGTGCTAATGTATACTTGTATAGCATATACATATCACAACAAGTAAAATCCTTGAGTACTTATGGTATGGTAATTAGTATTAGCTTCAATTAGGCCCTTAAGTATCTTCCCCTCCATTTCCATATGCTCAATTTGCTTGCTTAAAAATGAAATTTGTTCTGTATCTTTTCATTATCTCAAAGATCAAACTTTGACTTTTCTTTGGGGATTATTTCATATTTATTTTATGTTTTCCTATTTAAGGAGAGATTTGATGTCTATGAAAAGTTCTCTTCTCAACGTCCTTGTGAAATTATTTCACCTTCCCGATCAGTTGATTGAAATGTATGACTAGTGATTTGAACTACTATTTGCTTTTCAATCCACAGATTTCAATGTTTTTGTTCAGTCAATTGGCTTACTGTCACAAGCTTCTTATTCAGCTCCCATCCAGGATGCCAACTGCTGTTCCTATGATAATTGGCGTACTGAATTTATATTTAAAACCATCTCCATTGAGAATACCAATTTTCTGTTCTCATCTTTTATTTATGCTTGAATGACAAATGAAACATGTCCTGGCTACCAAATTCCTACATCCTCGATATCCTGTATGAACCTGCTGCTAACTTCCTCTTTTTGATATCTTTCATTAATCTCTGTAAGGCCAACATACCCACATTACCAATAAATTATTCTCTTCAATTTCAATAGTAGATTCGATCGAAACTTCAATCTATGGACTGATGGCTTCTTGCTTACAAATTATGGAGATTCAAATTTAGCTACCAGTATCCAATACTTAAAACAACATAAAGTAGCGGAAAAGGGGCAACACTTTTTTTTTTTGGAATTAAAGAACTAAACACTGGCTGGCCCTGTCTCCACTCTCTCTCTATTTTTTTGGGTCTCAAAAAGTCCTCTTGACCAGGATCCATTGTAAATGTGCATTTGTAATCCTTATAAATGTGCGTGCTATATAATTGTTTTCAGTCAACTCACTCACTAAAACCTGTTATATTGTGCTTATGATCCAGGCAACTCTGCATAAAGATATTTTGTATATGGCTGGTCAGTTGGGACTCAACCCACCAACAATGTTGCTCTGCGATCAGGGTCCCGCACTTGAGTTACAACAAGCCCTACTCAACAGCGAAGCTGTTGCTAAATGTTTCAACTGTTCAGTGGCAACATCTTCTATTTCCTTAATTGTTTATTGTTCAGCGTCTTTGAACACATCAGACAGAAGTTCTATTGAGAATCAGAAGGATTCTGTTCTTGCGAAAATGAAATTGGGATTAAATAGTGGAAGCAAATCCAACAAGTATATAGTTAACAATCCTGTTGTTCTGTACATTCTCGTTCCTGACCTGCCTAAAAGGTGACCTGCTTTATGTTTCCTCGCACGTGGCCAATGCAGTTGCTATTATGATTTTTGAATCATCTGCCAATTTCTGCATAAATAATTTCAAAAGAAACTATTGTATAATGCTATGAGTTTACTTGAACTATTCGTTCGAAGGGTTTGTGTAGGGAGTACTTTTAGCTTATGGTACCTTTCAATGACATGAAATAATAATTCCTAGCTTTTGTGGCTTTGTTCCCAGGGCTTCGGTAGAAGTAAAGCCTTTGCTTTACACTGGGGAAAATATTGAGGCTCCCACTCGTGTGAGCTCACAAGATATATGTGTGAGGCAAGATTATTGGGGATTTCAGCATAGAACCTGGCATGAGAATTGCCTTCAGAAATGTGTTATTAGCGGTACTCTATTTACAGCCGTTGTGTCTGTGTCGGAGGAAGTTGCAGCAAAAATCAACCATGAAAGCAATAACTCTGCTTGTGATGATGATTCAGAATGTACAATGAGTTATGAAAAACAAATCCTAAGGCTGGCACAATTCTGCATCTATCTTCTTGATGGGGTCATTCTGGAAAGTGGTTTTTCTTGGGCTGACATCATGGTTCGTTTTCTTTCCCACTGTCCTCGATTTTTCATTCATCTCCTCTGCCATTATTGTGATTTAGGTGGTGTTTGGAATTAGCTGATTCAATTATCTAGTTCGACTAGCCGGATATATTAGTAATTTGTAGTATAGTGTTTGGTAAAATAATTATTTGGTATTATAATTAATGATATTTTTATATTTTATTTTTAGAATCTTCACACACATATATTATTTCCGTTCGGCTCTAAGGGTCCTATTTATTTTTTGCATATTAATCTTTGAATATTAATTATTATATTAAAATATAGTACAAATTAAAAAAAAAATTGCAAAAAATATTTCAGTGTCTTGTAATACTAATATAAAGAAATTTATACAAAAAAAAATATACAAATTATATTTTTAATATTAAGTACAATGACGCAAAAGGTAAATGAGACCTTAGAGGCGGACGGAAGGAGTATATTATTATGTTAATTGTTGATTAATTCATTATTTCACGGTACTTATAATTTCAAATAAAGTTATTCTATATTATTCATTTAATATAAAATTTATGTGATAAAAAATAAATTAGTAATATTTAAATTTTCTATGTTACCTTAATTTTAATAAATTTATATATTTTTTACAAATAAAATAATTTATATGTAAAATAACTAATAATTTCAATTGCTTTAAATTTATAAAATTAAAACCATAACTTAGCAAAAATAGAAGTATGTTTAAATAACTACTAAATAATGCAACGAAAAAAGGTCGTCATGTGATTATAGTATTACTTTTATGTTATGAGAGTTGCACAAAATATTTGTTTGAAGAAATGCACAATGTGTGAAGCAAGAGCCTAGGGCTCAAGGGTAAATAAGGAGCCAAAAAAACTTTAGAATAGAAAAACTATCTCATTAGTCTTCTAAATGGTATTACTGTTTGACTGTTTTTCTTCTAAAACATGTCCTTCCTACTGAATAGCAAAACACATTTCATAGGTAGTGACTTGTTTCTTTAGTTATTATTATTATTATCATTATTTTCATTTTTAACTATTGAAGTGATTTTTTGCTTAGATTGATAGTTTCTAACTTGAATATGGCTGAACCACCTGTCTAAACCTGCTTTTCCCTCTCCCAAGGATTTCATCTATTTTCTATCCAACTTTTTATAATCTACACGCTTAGCTCGCATTATGATTCTTTTTGTTTTATTGCATCCCACTATTTGCCCGGTAAAGTTTTAAGAGACTACTGGATTATGTTAAAGTGTATGTTATTACAGCCTTTAGAATTGTCGATTTGTGATGTTGCTCTGCATTTAAGGGCTAGAAATGTTCTTTGTTCACATCTTTAGGAAATTCTGTATGATCCCATTTGATCAATGTCTGACATATCCTATTGTTTGTAGAATTTGAGGATCTATTTCGCAGCAAATCTTTTTACCAGCCACAGAACATTGTCGGCAATCTTCACCAATGCATTTAATGAATTTGGTGAGATGAACAAGGGAGTAGACGTACTAAAAGTGCCATTTTTCAATCTTGTTCCGGTGTTGGGCGCTGGTAGGTCCACAACATCCATGGATGATATACTTACCTGTGAGATGTTTGCCACCACGTGTTAGCCTAACCGACTAGCAATCCGTAACAGCCCCCCCAGAAACATTATGGCTTCCTTCGCACCAGCTGGACGACATTTTACCAGGATTGTTTTATTTCAGTTATAATTTATTTTTGATTGAACCTATACACTTCATACGTGATTAACGATAACATGGCAGGACGCTAGCCCAAGCATACAGAATACGTAGCTGCACGAGCAACAAGACGTACACGGTATTTTTTTTCTGTAAGTTTCAATGACGAGCTATGCGTTATTATTTTCTGTGTAAATTACATGTTTAAATCGTAATCGTGAGCCCTCTTTCTTTCACAAGTATCTTCTTGAAATATCTCTGTTGTTGTGGCCATTTGGTTGCGGTGATTCGATTTATTTACTTTTTATGTGGAAACATTAAGTATGTTGTTTGCACGTATATGCTGGCTGAATAGAGTCTAAATTACTGTGTTGATGAATAGGGCCAAAATTTACTTAAACCAACAATACTCTTTGTGCACACGTACTTTTTACCATCGCATGTTTGCTCATTTATGTTAAAATAGACTTGTGTGATAAACTTCATAACATAGTTTGAATTTTCTTTTGATTTTAAATTGATTTCCAACTTTGAATAAAAGGTGTTACTCCCGGTATCTATTTTTTTCATTTTAGTTTGTCCAATTTCCAGTAATTCTACCTAACGTTACAAATACCTTTGCAACTTACAATATATTACACAAATGTCATTACCTTTATATCGCACAGTATTAATAGTCATTTTTATTTTATTCTTACTACATCTTAATATAATACTAATATTTCTAAAACTTCGTGCAAAAAGCAAACGGATATATAGTTATGAGACGGAGGAAGTATTATCTTTACTTAACAACGTTTAACTCCATGAAGCTTTTTGTGAAAAAAACATATCTCTCCTTAATTGAGGGCAATTCATAGTATTACCCTATAAACCATTTTATTCAAGTTTATGAAAAGTACTTATTATTCAATTATTTAAATCCTATATAATTTTGCTAATCAATTTTTGAGAAACTTGGGTGTGTTTGGTTGTGGGTTGTGTTTTGAATTTGGATTTTGAATAGTAAAAATTTTAATTGAAATTGTTTGATATGATATAAATAAATATGATGTGAAATTTTGATGAAAAAATACATCTGTGTAATATAAGAATAAAATAAGTGTTTAGTTTGGGGTGTGTTTGTTTGTTTGTTTGTTTTTTTTTTTTTTTTTTTGTGTAATCTAAAAATATAAAATAGTGTACGGTTTTTTTTTTTAATTTTTTTTTCATCTTGTATATTATCATTTAAAATATTAATTAAATTGAAATAAAAAATTCAATGTCACATTGGGAAAAAAATTTATGAATAGTGAAAAACTTGACAAAATCAACAATAAAGTATATTTAAGTTCCATTTAAAATGAAAAATTAATATTTGATGTAATATTTTACGTAATATTTTTTTATATAAACTTATTGTCGAAGAATATTGTTAAAAGTTTTAAAACGTGTGTAAATAGTTGGGACAGTTGTTTTTAGTTTTACTGTAGCATCATTGAATGGACGTGGTTGTTGTAATCGTCTCGGAAAAGTTTAGATGAACATGATATGATTTGTTTTTAGTATATATATATTTTGTAATATATTAACTTTTAAATTATATCTTTGATTTAATAATACTTAGAAGGAAAAAATTTGATGATTTTGATGTTGGTAAAGTCAAGTTCTGTTTCTTTTATTAAAATTTAAATTTCTAAAAAAGAAATATTATATTATAAATTTATCTATATTTAAAATATTGTTTAATAAATTTATTTTTTTTATTCAAATATCACGTTTAGTATTTGTTTATATCATATTAAATATTTATTTTCTATTCAAATTTTTATTATATTTAAATTAATTAAAATTTTAAAAATATTTTCAAACTTTTATATTGTTATCCCACGAGAGATATCCCAGTTGGTATATATGTCCTTCCGCCAAAAATAAGAAAATTTTAAAAATTTCCCATCCCTACTTGTAGTAGGATTATCCGTTTTGTTCATCTGGAAATTATTATTATTATTATTATTTTTTTTTAAGTTTAGAGATCCAAATTAAGTTCAGTGTAATTTTCAGAATAAATGAAAAAACATGTGAAAAACATCAAAGCAAAACACGTAATTGCCATGCGCGCGCGCATATATATATATATATATATATATATTCAATGGTGCATATTGTTTGTCGGCGAAACTTAATGGTGCAAATTAAAGTGATATTTGGTGCATGGGAAGGCAACGACTCCATGCTATGGAGATGGAAGAAAACCAGTTGAATATCAGCTTGCCAACCCATTCATTTCTCCTCCTTTTATCTCGGTAAATTTTCGCCTTCGTCGATTTCGCGCAATCTATAGCCTACATTGAAATTTCTGGTTAACGAGGTTTGAAATAACCGTGGCTAGATGCGGGGAGGGGGGGCGTCTTGAATCAAGGGAATTCGATTCCATTTCAATTATGCAGTGTTGAGATTGGGATTTTCCTAGGGTTTGAATCGGTGAGTTGAACTTGAAATCGTTTGGATTTTTGCGTATTTTAGTCGTTCTAGAGATTCGGTGAAGAGAAATTGTAATTTCTGCGTTAATCGAGTTGGAATTACAGTCGAAACCCGCATATTGGGACAGATTAGGATGGATTTTTGGCGTTTTTGCTTTGTGAAATGCCGGAATTTCTATGGTTCTTTTAGGGCTAGGGTTTACAATGAGGCGAAATTATAATTGTGTGGAATTGACTTGATTTGGTTGGAAAAAGGGGAAGAACAGTAGATGAAAGGTAATTAGGAAGAACATCAATGGAGGATATATCGAAAGATGAACATAGCCTGTAGAATTGATTTTAATTGATTGCAGAAAGGGGAAGAACAGTAGATGAAAGGTAATTAGGAAGAACATCGATGGAGGATATATCGAAATATGCACATAGCCCTGCTCATACGGCTGTACTGAACCGAGATCACGTCGCATTGAGACGGATAGTATCGGCGCTGCCGAAGCTAGCAAAGGCCGGAAAAGTTAACACAGAGGCAGAGTCTTTGGCAGCCGAAGCAGATGCAGAAGCTGTGTCCGCAGTGATCGATAGGCGCGATGTTCCGAGGAGGGAAACTCCATTGCACCTCTGTGTTCAGCTACACGACACTGTTTCAGCCGAGATTTTAATGGAAGCCGGCGCAGATTGGAGGCTTCAAAACGAGAACGGATGGACTGCGTTCGAGGAGGCTGTGTGCGTCGACGAAAGCATCGCGACGATCATAGCAAGGCGAAAGGAGCCTCTTTCGTGGGCGAAATGGTGCCGTAATCTTCCGAGGATTTTGGCGTCAGCATCTCGGATTCACGATTTCTATATGGAGATAACGTGGAACTTCGAGAGCTCGGTGATTCCGTTCATCGGTAGGATCGCGCCTTCGGATACTTATCGAATATTGAAGCGCGGCTGCAACTTGCGCGCAGACATGACGCTGGCGGGATTCGATGGATTTCGGATTCAACGCTCGGACAGGACGATTATGTTCCTCGGAGAGGGCTATTCGTCGTTCGATGGGAAGACATCGCTGTCTCCCGGATCTTTGATCGTTCTTGCGCACAAGAAGAAGGAGATCACGAACGCGCTCGAAGGCGCCGGAGCTCGGCCATCGGAGGGCGAAGTCAGGCGACAAGTCGCTTTAAAGAAGTCGCAAGTTAATATGTCGAGATCGGGAATTGATGTTTCTCAGGCCGAGCTCATTCCCCAATTGAATTGGCGACGGCAGGAAAAGAGCGAGAGCGTCGCGGGCTGGAAGGCGAAGGTTTACGATATGCATCACGTCCAAGTGAGCGTGAAGTCGAGGAGAGTTCCCGGCGCCGCCGCCGCCGCGCCCGACGGGAAGCAGATTTCTTCAGCTAATGACGATTACCGATTAGCCAATTTAAGCGACAACGATGAGTATCACGACGTGTTGACAGCCGAAGAAAGAATGCAGTTGGATTCCGTTGAGGAGAATGGTTTATTCGAAGATGACGACGCTGATGCGCATGAAAGCTTCGATCCCGCCTCGTTCAAAAGCGGCGGATCGATTGGTTCAACGAAGGAGAAGAAGAGTTGGTTGGCCCGGAACAAGAAGAGCACCAAGATCAAGTTGGTACCTAAAGAAGACAAACACAAATCGAATGAAAATCGTCAATTATCAACCGAGTTTCCTCCCGAGGATTCGGGAGACAACAAAAAGGTCAAGAAGAAGAACAAAAAGGGCGCCGCCGTCGACTCCAAGAGCGATGGCAAGCAAAAGAAGCCTCTGAGACCAGTTCTATGGCTAACGCCGGATTTTCCTTTGAAAACCGACGAACTCTTGCCTTTCCTCGACATTCTGTCGAATCAGGTGAAGGCAGTGAGACGATTGCGGGAGTTTTTGACGACTAAATTTCCTCCAGGGACATTCCCCGTCAAGGTACTTTCTTCGATTGTTGATTCGATCATTTGGCGATATTTCTTGAGATTAGCGAAGTTATAGTTTGTCGAACAAGATTCTATCGAAAATCGCGATACATGTCAAGAAAACACAAATTAGATGTTTCTACGCGTATAAGAACGAATGAAACTCATCGATCGATCGATCTTGTGTGTGTAGATTGCGATCCCGATTGTCCCAACAGTTCGTGTTCTGGTGACCTTCACAAAGTTTGAGGAGCTTCAGGCGTCAGAGGAGTTCTCGACGCCTCCTTCAAGCCCAACGCAGCTCCACGACGAAGAGGCGGAGGGATCGAGATCGTGGATGTCGTGGATGAGAAGCTTTAGGGGATCGTCTAGCGATGGCGAAAGCCATGAAGTCGATCCTTTCCACATTCCGTCGGATTATTTATGGGTTGACGCGAATGAGAGAAGGCGACGAATGGAAACCAAGAAGGCTAATGCCGAGAAAAATCAAAGGGAAAGGGCGCGAAAAAATTCGGATGGAGCACAACGATACGTGAAGGAAGTTGAATCGCAATAGCTCATGAAAATTATAACTCTTCTTACTACTGTTGTAGGTGCGTTACGTAGTCGACTTTCTTATGTACCTTTCAATTAGGCAATCTAGTCTCTGTTCTTCTGGAGATTTTTTTAATAGTAATTTGGAAGTGATAGTTTTGTAAAAAAAAGAATAATGTATTTTTTGAAAATTTGCTATTGTTGCATTGTAAAAAAATTGAAACCAAACGTTAGAAGAATGTTATTTTTAGTTTGAATAGTAGGATTGTTATTTCTAATCCCAAGATCAATAACATAATATTTCCATACAGTCGGAGTGAAATAAAAACGAAATTTAAAGAATCCTTTATATATTTCGAAATCAAAGGAATTCAGACTCAATTTACCCATGTATCAACCGAAACCAACGCAAACACTCAATCACGAGTTAAACCCAAGCGATATCCACGGAAACACATAAACACGCGAATCGAACCACAATTTAAGGAAATTTCAACATTCTAAGCCTAATTTCATTGCGGACAAACAATATATACCACCAACAGCAAATCAGACCAAAATTGAGAAAACAAACAAATAGACAGCCTCAGAACAGGCTGAACATCAACGCGCATATCGAATCCTCAGCTTCGCCGGACAACGTCACCGGAAAAATCGCAAGGAAGATCGATTGGAATCGCCGTCAAGAGATTAGGGCTTTTAGATAAAGAAAGTTGCGATGTGTAGAATGAGCTTGAATCGGTCTGCAGCTGTTCGGGAGAATCTTATATCAGATCAAGTAATGCAGATCCAATGGATCAGATAAAAACCTCTCGTTCAACGACTAGCATTGAGTCTCGCATAGAATAGACGGGTTGCGGATACCAGATCCGGATTTCGGATGGACGGGTCGGGTTGAGTGCTGCTGGGCCTCCAACAGTCATAGGCCCAAAACCATCACAAGAAGCTTAAATTTACATACAAATTCTGAAAGTTATGAAATAAAAAAATATAAATAATAAAAAAGATTAGGTATTTGATATTATACTTTATTTGTTCCAATTTAATATATTATTTTTTAACATATTAAAAAGTGATATTATTTGATTAGTTAATAAAAATATGTATGATAATTTTGACACTTTTGTCTTGTATGTAATAATAAAATATATATTTTTAGTAAAAGTTACGGGCATTTAGATATTTAAAAAGAAATTATTTGTTAGTAAATTGATATTTTTGAATTAGACGGACAAAAATAATAAAAATGATATATTGAATTGCAACAAAATGAATTTTTTTTATATAAAAAATATTGTTTATTAATAAAGCTAAAATCATAGAGTGTGTTAGTTTTGTGTTTTGAGTTCCAAGTAGTCTTATATTTTATTTTTTTTATTTTAAGTTTGAAAAATATGTCAATAATATAAAATATAACAATATTTATATTAAATTATTGACTTTTTAAAGTCTATAGAATATATACTATATATTTTTATAAATATATTATACATATTTTTTATAATTATTACCTTCGTTTTGAAACATTTCGGATCGATGAAACCTTACTTAACAAAACTCGAGACGATGAAGAAGAGTTGAAACTTGACCTGATAGCAAAGTGCAATAGCAACAAGTGAACTAGTGAGGTGTGGCGACATTGAACGAATCCAGCCACATCAAGCCAGGTTTAGCAGCATCGAGTAAGGACCAGTAGCGCCGAGCAAGGTTCAGCTGCATTGAGCGAATGTCATCCACGTTGAGCAAGGCCATCTACGTTGGTGAAAGCCCAAGACGTCAAACAAAAGCCTTAGACATCGCAGCCTGAGAGTTAAGGATTGTGGCCGCAAAACCAAGCTCAAAATGATATCCACCAAGCTCGACGGAGTTGAAGACCAAGGAATTAGGTCAAAAAGGGGAGTGAGTTGGTTGGATAAAATTGTGGGATTGTTTATTCGTTTTGAATCATTATAATTTTCTCCACGATTTTTAGACACCATAAGCTATCCTACAATTTTAGCACAATAAAAGAGATAAGAGCCAAGAAGGAGGACGATGGTCTTCACTTAAAAAATTCTGCATTTTATTTCTTTTATTTTTATTTTTTTTGTTTTCTTTCTTGAGTTCATGCATATCTTTAGCCTTTGTTCCATTAAAATTCAAAAATTTCATTTCAATTTATGCATTTATTTTTCATTAAATTCTTGTAATTTTTATTCCATTGCTTATTTTCAAATTATCGATGTGAGATCAAGCCAAAATGCTTTTTTTTAGTAGGCCGAGGAATCCACAACAACGATTTTTTGACTGGACAAATCCAATCGGACGTCAAAGTCAAAATCAAACAACAATAATAACATACCCAGTGGGACACCGAAGATTTTGTTATTTCATATTCGTAGACGATGCAATAAGGAAAGGATGATGACGAGCTTTTGAATGTCCTCCATGATAAAAATCCGTTCAGCGATTCGAGAATCTCTTCGAGATTTCACACTGATGCCTTCCAATGTGCTACCAACCTCATAAGACCAACGTTTGAAGAACAAAATAGCATGGTTTCGGGAAGAGGATTCAACGAGAACGAAGCTCCTTGAGATGGATTCAAATCTGATTGCAACAGCCCCAAATATTCAGGCACATAGATCCATCGGCCTTGACCATCCGACGTCGTCTTCACTGCAGTACGGTCATGTCGCTATCCTCAAGAGGGGCCAGGATGTCGGCGATTCAAAAATTACACTAGCATTGGAAGGAGCAACCAGGATGTTGCGGGAGGGAGGCAATGAAAAACCTCTGCAATGGTGATTTAACCCTTCTTTCACCTCAATTACTCCATATGTCACAGTGGCGGTTGCTTCCGCAGCCCTGTCGTTGCAAATCTACTAGTGAAAAAATTTAGCTCTCACTGAGGGCACCTCCGCAATGGCGATTTAACCCTACTTTCGCCTCAACTACTCCATATGTCACAATGACGGCTACTTCCACAACCCCGTTGTTGCAAAAGTACTAGTGGTAAAATTTAGCCTTCACTGAGGACAAGTAGACACAACCAGTCTCTCATACGATGTCGTCGATGATGAATGCAAGCCTTTTTTGGACAGACATCAACTCTACTCCTGTGTACGTGCAAATGGGGTAGACGTTCGGTCCTGTGACTACGTATGTGCAAGGGAGGCGGGTCCGAACATATATGCAAAGAGGGAAAACGTTCAGTCCTACAATTTTGTATGTGCAAGAAGGGAAAGTGTTCTATCCTACAAACGTGTATACACAAAACGGGCAGGTGTGCGATCCTTGCAAGTACGTATGTCCAAAGAGGTGAAACGTTTAATCTTGCGGCTACATATGCGCAAGGGGGATAGAATCTGACGAACGTTCGTAAACTATGCCAAGCACGTCTCATACTCAATTTACAGTGATTTTGTTGATTCTTTTCCGAAGGCATATGCCCGAAGCGAGTCGGCATGGAGATACATTGTATAAAGCAAATCAGTCCACAACAGCTATCTCTACCTTCGGTGACACTGCCTCCACCACCGGTGATGTGGCCACCCAACTAAGGTCCCATGTGCGTCCCCCAAGCCACGGTGATGTGGGACAACCAACGGACCCTCACATCAAGCCTACTTGAATCGACCACAAGACGATTGTGGAGATCATAGTCAAGTTTGCGGAGATTTGTTATGTTTGCCGATATTTCTGCATCGTCAGCGGTCATTCGCCGATGGTGTCGTGAAAAAACATCCTATTCCGGGGGACGCTTGTATCTCATAAATCCTGTGACTCACCACAGTTACTGTTCCAACATCGCCACAACCACAACTGAACCCAAATCATAGTTCAACTGCGATTGGCAATACCTATGTATTGCCGACCCATGCCATGGCTCTCTCGCCAGAAAATTCTTGTACCATATGTTGTACAACAATGTCACAACCTCATCATGTGGCTAGGGGGTAGATGTACAACCCTGCAAGCATGATCCCACAAGGTTCGCATGCTTTTGTGGGACTGTCAAGTAATGAAGAAGACCCGAGCTCGTTGCAGCCTTTAAATCCATTTTCAATTGGGCTTAGTGTAGTGCCATTGAATTCTTCAACTAAAAGACTTCCAAATGAAGGCAGCTCACAATGATTTTCTCGAGGAAGCACGCAACAGCCTCTAACGGCTGAGATCGGAAATTGCCATCCGTCGGTTGCAGCGTTGCTGCCTCCACCGAAGGAGAAATTTCAAAAGTCTTCTACGCCTTAAAGGCTTGTATTCGAGCAACTCGAGCAAACATATCAGCCTCTGAGAGACTTTTCGGTTCGAAATAGATTCGCAACCTTTAATACAATCACCGAAATCATCATAAAAAAAAAGATGAAGTATGGAGGGTCACATATGTTGATCAGGTTTCTATTAATCTTTATTCGATTCGAAAACCCTGTAACATGCTAAAGGAAGGAAGTTGGACAGTCAATCGAGCTCCCGAAAAATTGACGTTGCTGTCTCAATTCCAAAAGAGACATCGTCGGAGTTAGCAACAAGCTCAGAGGTGAGAGCAAGAAGAGCATGATTTAGGGAAAACAAGAACATCTAAAGAAAAATCGAGACCATTTATGCATCCCAAAGCGCCACCAAATAAGTTTTTGCACCAATTGAACAACCGAAGCAAGATTTGAAAGCGAGCAATTTGCATACAAGGAATAATTTGCATGAAATGAGCAACCCGCCTGTATGGAGCATTTTGTGCACTAAGAGCAGCTTGTCCACAAGGAACGATTCACATATAAAAAATTAGAAACACAATAGAGACACGTGAGCAAATGCTTATGTTGTCGATGTTGGGTTTGGGTTCCTCCTATGTGTAGGAGGCCCAACAATTCATGTAGCTCAAAAAAGAATTGAGAATCCAATTTTGCCAATTGTTGTCATAGCCCTCATAGTTGGGAGAAGAGTCATTTTGGATGCAGAGATTGAGATAGACAATCGTTATCCACACATAAAAAAGAATTGAAAAGCAAGAGAGAATTTTATCAACTCGGTTCCGATTAACGGTCTTATCAACTTTGGATGTTCTTCGTGGTATCCTTGATTTTTCATTATTTACTTATTTGTATCGATTTTGAATCTTGTTGTTTGGTGATTGGAATGGATTTTTTGTATTAGGAAGATCTCTTGTTATTGATGTTCGATTCTTGTAATTGGGTGTGGAGTTTGATAGCCTTTTTTGTTGTGGTTATTTTTTATTGTACGAACA